TGGGTGTCAGATTAGACCCTGTAATCTCTAACCCAGGGGTGGGGAACCTGGGACGGCAAGTGCGGCAGAATCCAAACTTCACAGATTTGGTCAAAGGGCCGCATTTGAGGACCTAGAGGGCCACATGTGGCCTTGAGGCTGCAGGTTCCCCACCCCTGCTCTAGCCTTCTAAACTAGAATCCAGGTTTTAGTGGCCATTTAAAAATCTTATAATATTTGTTTCTCTGTCCCCTGTAGACCATGTTTATTGATAGCAATTCAGATCCCAGCACTGCTACTTTAGGACCCTGGTAACTTTGGACAAGTCACTCAACTTTTCTAGTTCTCAGTTTCCTCATCTGTAAGTTGATAGGATTAGCCTAGCTGATGTCTGAGATCCCTTCTGACTACAGATCGATGATTCTATGATCTGTCAAAGAGGTTTCAAGAATGCTCCCGCCGCTGCTATGTAGAATGATGGCATTTTGTCAGAAAATGATTGTATCAGTAAAGACCCAATTATTTTAAGTCAGCAGTCCATCTTTGAGGCACAAAAAAATCAGATGCCTGTAATACATCTAAAGACCAATGGACCATCTTAGTTCGCAGCTTTCTTTGAAGAAGCTTTGTGAATACCAAAGACCTAACCAACTAAAGTCATTCTTCTGAAACCTTCCTTACATATTTCTTTAAGAACAGGAAGCTATTTTACTCTGGTTGAGATACTGAAAGGCAGTGTTGCATCATAGTGGAAAAAGAGCTGGCCTTGAAGACTGGGTGACTTGAAGTCTTGCGTCTGACAAATACTGGTTGTGTGACCCTGTGAATAACACTTGGTGCTCTGTAAGTTGCAGAGAATGTATTAGATTGCATTGATGGAGGAAGATAAAGGGAGACTACCCTTTAGTCAATAAAATCATAGATCCAGTGCCTATCCTTTGAGATACAGAAAAATAGATTCCTATATAATAATAATAATAACAGTAGCATTTATGTAGTTCTTTAAGGTTTGTAAAGCGTTTTATAAATATGCTCTCATTTATCCTTATAACAACCCTGGGAGGTAGGTACTATCATTATCTCAATTTTACCCATAAAGAAATTTAAGCAAAGAGAAGTTATTTGCCCAGGGCCACATGTTAGCAAGTGTCAGTCTGGATTTGAACTCAGATCTGCCTGCCTTCAAGGGCTACATGTGGCCTTCTAGGTCCTTAGGTGTAGCCTTTTGGCTGAGTCCAAGTTTTACTGAAAAAATTCTTTTATCAAGGGAATTTGTTCTGTGAAGTTTGGATTCAGTCAAAGGGTTGCACTTGAGGACCTAGAGGGCCACATGTGGCCTCAAGGCCACAATTTCCCCACCCTGATCTAGAGCATTTGATTTCCAGACTCTTCACTTTTCCAGGTTAAGATCATTAGGACACAGTCTGTTTTATCAAATTGATAAGCATTTAATCAGCTTCCAGAGGGTATAGAATATTCTGTTTTGGGAAACATACAAAGCTTAGAAGAGGTAATTCCTGTCCCTGTGGAGTTTACAGCCTAATAGAAGAATGACACATATACAAATAACCATATAAACCAGACTTCTGACCTTGTTAGTATTGGTAACTCCCAGTAAAAGAACTCCCTTGTTTAACTGATCAACAAAACCTTTAAAGTGACTACAGTGTGCCAGGCGCTGTGAATAGGTCCTGAGAATGCAAAGACAAAAAGATGAGTCCCTACCCTCAAGGAGATTACATTCTATCAAGAGAGGCATTACACATACATAGAAATATGTATGTTTATGTACAAACACACATATACATATTTATGTCTATATCTGTATAAACATACATCTACAACCATTTAAAAGATAGATACTGTCTTACTATACTTACATTAGATTAAACATATTTCTTTTGTCCCATTACAATTTAGCATCATTTTCTTCGGTTGAGTGGACTTAAGGTGTAAAGAGTTCAGTTCCATCTAAGCTAAAACTATTTTAATCATCTCTTAACATGGCATTTTTTTGTCCCAGGAAGCTGGCTCACTCCTTCTTTCTTCTTCATCTTGCAAATAAACTCCTATTGACTGTAGAAATTTACACAAGTATCTGGTCATTCTAAGCTTTAATTATCCTAAGATCATAGTATTTCATCCTACTCGTTTCTGTTTAACCTCGACATTGAATATCTCCTTCTACTAAAGAATCTAAGAATATCAGAGAGTTTCCTATGCAGACACTGGCTTATTATGATGCTCCTGTTTTCTTCATTATTTGAAACCATTAAAATTTTGTCTTTTGAGTCTCCCATCCCACTTATGCTGCAGATCCTTAAAAGCAGATTTACTTACAGGGGTGGGGAAGCTGCAGCCTTGAAGCCACATGCGGCAGCCCTTTGACTTCTGTGAAGTCTGGAATCAGTCAAAGGACCTAGAAAGCCACATGTGACCTTAAGACTGCAGGTTCCCCAACCCTGAGTCTTAACCCATCCTGGTGGGTTAGCATCTCCCTCACAGGGCTATTTTGAGGATCAAATGTATTTGAATGCTTTGCAACCCTTATAGAATTATACAATGTGAGTTAACACTTATTATGATTAATTTTATTATTTTGGAATAGCAGGCCAGAAGATCATATCTGCCTCCTTCAGAATGTCTTGAAATTTGTTTTCCTGAAGTCAGAGTTGAGGGGTAGTGTGGTATGATGGACAAAGAGCTGGCATTCAGATCCTGCCTCTGGAACAAGTCATTTGACATCTAAGTACTTCTCTCAAATTATGGGGTCCAGAACAGGTACCTGCCTCTCTGCACTGGTACAAGGAGTTTCTTCACTTTATACATGGAATCCTTAGTCCAGGAAAGGAGCAAAAATCAGTCTTTGCTGTCTCTATTACAAAGGTTGATTTTTTAGAAATTGCTTATACTTCCATGTCACCCTCTGCTTTTGTCGATTTCTACTTGCTCACTTCTTGATGTTGGTTTTGACTTCTCTCTTCCTCTTCCTTTTTTACTTTCTTCCTGTATTATTTCTTGTACTCTGAGAACATTTCAGCCTTCTGTGATAGACTAGAGCTTAGAGGGATATGTTCCTCACATCTTTATGCCTTTTCTGCTGCAGAAAGAACAGCTCACACGTGTGGAACTGATAATTCTCTCAGGGAGGCCTGAGAACATGATCCACTCAAAACCAGTTCCCTCGGTGTCTGCATTTCCTAGGTCAAAAGGTGAACACTTGTCTCAGGCAGCTTTCCTTCATCATACTCTTTCATGATACCTGCTCTTTTTGGTGGAGATGCCGGCTTGCCTCTGGTGACCATGTTTTAAAAACCCTTGTTTTGATTAATTGATCCAAGTGAACTAAATGAGCATTTATTAAGCACCCATTATGTGCCTGGCATTGTGGTAGACATTAGGGATACATAGAAAGGCAAACAGCAAAAACAGAAGAAAAAAAAAAGTCCCTACTGTCAAAGAGCTCATAATCTACGGTCTGCTCTTCCCACTTTTTTTATCCCATCTGTCCATTCCGGGCAGTTTTCTTCCTAGTTGAATGGGGGTTCCCAGGGTTGCTGGTGTATATTGACCTTTTATCTCTATATTATCATAAATGTCTTTACAAGTTATGCAATATACAATTGAGATGTTTAAAGAGTTAAGAGAAAAAAGTATGAATTTATGAATTTATGAAATTATAAAAATTTATTAACATTGTGCTAAGGGCTTTTAAAAATATCATCTCATTGGATACTTACAGTATTTCATGTCTGGGGATAGAGCACTGGCCCTGGAGTTAGGAGGACCTGAGTTTAAATCCAGTCTCAGACACTTGACACTTACTAGCTATGCGACCCTGGGCAAGTCACTTAATTCAAATAGCTTTGCCAAAAAAAAAAAAAACAAACCCCAAAAAAACAAACCTCATGTCTTCTGTTTGTTTGTTTTTGTATCTCTCATATGTAGTACTATGCTCTGTATACAATAAATATTTAATTTATATCAGTAACAACAACAATAATAACAGCAGGTACCATTTATATAATGCTTTTATGTTTTAATGAAGCTTTAGGTTTTCAAAAACCTTCATTTTTTTAATCTCATTTGGCTCATACAACAGCCATGTGAGATAACTGCTCCCCACTTTACACATTCAGAGACTGAGAGAAATTAAGTGACTTGCTCAAGGTCACAGATCATCTGAGCAGAATTTGAACTCGTCTTTTTTACTCCAAGTCCAGCATTCTATTATGCTACTGACCCTAATTTATTTGCGCACTTCCATAGTATGCACAATCTAAAAGCAGATAGCCTTAAAAAAGAAAAAAAAAGAACACCTATGTGGTTGACCTGAAGCCCTGTTTTTCTCTTATACAAGAACAATCATGTCTCATCCCATCAGTTTCTTAAGTGACAGGTCATTTCTAGCAAGTATCATGTAGCTGGGTTCCAAGTTTTCCCCTCAGGGTTAGAACATGGCATTGTGTGATAGGTACAGGCTTTCTTCTGGTATGACTGCAATGTTCGGGCATGGCAGGCCCTGTAAACGCATACAGGAAGTATGTGGTGACCTAAGTGTTTGGTCTTCTAAACACTAATGACAGTTAATCATTGTCTTAAGGGCCAGGGTAAGAAAGAACTATGCTGTTTCTGTGCTTTCTATTTTCCCCCCTCTACTGTCAAGGTTTGTCATCTGATAATTATAGATGGCACAGTAAATACTTTTCCTTGCTGAGCTTCTTGCAGGGGAGTCTTAATTTCAGCTGAATTTCTTTATACCATTGTGTGGAACTAGTGGAACACAAAGGGAGTGAATAGATGAGAACAGGAAAGGATATATTTTAGAAATAAGATTGTATAGTATACTGCCTTGGTACCAAATTACAGTAATCATGCTTTTGGAGAAATGAAAGGATAAATAAACTTGAAAGGCATTATGACATGTACTTTTTGGTTTTTCTGTATGCTTTATTTTCTGTGTGATGTACTCAATTTTATTTACTTGCTAAAAATTGTGAATCTGCTCTTTCCTTTTGCAGATCACCAGAAACTGGAACGGGAAGCTAGAATCTGCCGTCTTTTGAAGCACCCTAATATTGGTGAGAAAATGCCTTTACCTATCAAGTTTTCCCTTTTCCATTCTAAATTTGACCACCATTTGCTTTGGTGCATCATCGAATCTCTACAAATGCATACTAAAACAGGCAGCAGAGGAGTGGATTATAGCAAGGGTAGACAACAAGGTTCTTCAGAGCTGTAGGGCTAAGCCTTGAAATTATCATGAAAAAAAATTACCAGTATAAAATGGATTGATCCTGTGATTGAAAATTAATTAAAATTAAATGTGATTAAGTCCTAAATCTCAAAATAAAACAGAGAAATGTAAAGAAACTGTTTTGATTAAGCAACAAAATAAATATTTGCCAATTTTATTCTGAAATAGTCAATATTATGTAAGAAAATAAATGATCAGTGTTATATAACAAAATTAGATAACATTTATATAGTGTACTAAAGTTTACAAAGTGTTTTATACATATTGTTTGGTTCTCACAATAACTGTAAGAGGTAGGTGTTATCATTATTGCCCTATTATACAGATGAAGAAATTGAGGTACAAAGAAATCCGTGCCTTATTCAGGCTTGCAGCAACTAAATCTGTGGTGGAAAGGGTGTGGGTCTCAGAAAGACCTGGATTCAGGTCCTACTTTTGATCTTTATTGGTTGTGACATGGGCAGATCCCCTGCTGCTCTCTCAGTGTCCCAGACAACTTTCTAATACTAAGTTTCAGAGCAGGTGCTGATGTGGGTAGACATTTTTTTCCACTGGTAGTTCTATATAAATGGGCAGCTAGGGTGGTGCTGTGGATAGAATGCCAGGGCCTGGGGTCAGGAAGACCCAAATTCAAATCCAGCTTCAGACTTACTAGCCCTGTGAACTTGGATACGTCACTTAACTCTATTTGCCTCAGTTTTCTCATCTAGAGCTAGGGAAGACAATGGCAAACCACTCCAATATCTTTGCACAAAAACTCCGAATGGGCTCACAGAGAGTCAGACACAGCTGAAACGACTGAACAACACAACTAAGTTTCTATAACAGTGAAATCGTGGGTCTGGTTTAAAAACAAAAACGTTAATATTTTGTGGAAAACATATTGTGAACCTTTGTTGATACATTGGTTAATACATTTGGTGAATTGTGGCTTTAAAGAGTTGATCATTCTCCACATGTAGGTTGAGGTAAGCCACCAGGAGAGATGGATTAGAGGCAGATCTGAGACTTAATGTAAAAACAGGGTTTGCCTAAGGTACATCAGGCCCACATCTCTTCTGTGAGATTAATTCCCTGCATCAACTATCACAGATGGATCACACTTACAGCCATCAGAACCGGCATTGATGAGGATTTCTCTCTTCTCCATCTTCCTCTTAGATTCATAGAATGTCAGCTTTGGAGATGATCATCTAGTCCTTTCTGTCCTCCATTGGTTGTCCCCAGGAACCATCTATGCCCACTTCATGCTTCTCTCCCTGGTCAGAAGATTTCCTCTTCCACTGAAGGGGTGAAAGATTCCTGGAATCCCCAGTTAGAACTCCAAGTACATTTTTTTTCTATAGAAACAGTTTTCAGTACTCCCTCCACAGATGTAGATGACAAACCCTCCAGACCTCAGGAGATGGTTTGTGTGAGTTGAATGCAGAAATACTTACCACCCAATTGTCAGCCTTCTGATAATGAGCCTCTCGACACTTTGCTAGGCTAGTGTTGAGATAACAGACACACAATTCATTGCTATGCCTATGTATACCATCCTCCTGGGGAGGGGGCAGTGTGAGGGTGAGAGATGGGACCTACCAATATTTGTCATACCCTCTGAAAATCCAGGCCCACCTCTATACCACAAATAAGTCACATGAGTAAAACTTTTGTGGAATTACATTTATTGATAACTCATTTTGTGGGCTGACCTGAGAACCCAACGACCATGAATCACATTATTCCGTCGGGGGAAATGTAATCCATATTAGAATCAACTGACTTAACAAATGAACTTCTTGAAGACAAGCTGTTTGTAAATTAGGACTTGTAAATTAGTTGTAAAGACAATTAGATTGAGAATCAGACTTGTTTTCTCATTCTGACGTATATTAGTAATTTGCTTTGTGACATTAAGCGAGTCAGTTAACATTCCTTGATAGAGTGAAGAAATCAGACCAGATAACCTCGGAGGTTTTAATTTCTTGGGCTTTAATATCTTGTGATTCATATTATTTTAACCAGGAGAATCTCTGAACCACACAGTTCCAAACATCTCTTAAGTAGTTTGATGTGCCAGGTATTAGGGATATAATGACTGTAATGAGAGAAATCTTGCTGTCAAAAGGCCTACATTCTAACACAATCTTTACATGTAATAGAAATAAGATGTAACTGGGGGAAGGTACTTAACATCTGGTGGGTACAGGAGAAAATACATGGTGTAGGTGGCATTTGGATGGGAAATTTTGATTAGTTAGAATGTGTAATTGTTTAGGTGAGTTTAGGTAGACGGAGTTGGCATGGCTTTGAAGGAAGAGGAGATTCAGAAGGAAAACATTAAGATTCCCTCCAGCAGGTGAAGAGGTTTCTAGATCACTAGAGAAAAGCTGTATTTTTCATACTGTTATCAAAACAAACCATCCATTGAGAATGCCCCAGGAAGTAGCTGCCTAGGAGGTGAATATAAATCTTGGATGTAGTTGGGGGTTTGTCCAAGAGCAGCTATTCATAGACATAGAGGAAAGATGCACGCTGGTGTCTGTGAACCTAACAGTACAGGAAGAGGACAGAGCTGTTGATATTCAGGAAAAAAAATGCAGTAACTATTGTTAACATTCTATTCCTTCCTGGTTCCCTCCTGCTGTGCCACTGCCTGAAAATCCACCATATCCAAAGGAGAGCCAGAGCACAAATATTTTTAAAGTATAAAGAATAAACAAATGTGATTCAGGTAAGCCCAACTTCACTCAAAACTAATTTCATGACTTTACCAGTTTAATAAAAGATCATTCAGAATGAGGTGCATAAGGACTTTCTCCCATAGGCCTATTTTTTATAGACAAGAATCATTGAAGGATTTGGAAAATAGTGCTGTTGTATAACAACAGAATGCCTTTGTCATATTGTAACATTGAAAGAATTTGGTGTCAGAATTTTTTTTTCTTTAGGTGAAGGCAGTATTTCTGAAAGCATTATATCTGAGGCTAATGTTTCTAGGATTATCTGGGGAGATGTAGCACTAATTATCACTCTTAAACTCATATGCTTCCTCCAATTACCCAAATCTTTCTGTTGAAGCCACAAATAACTGGCATAATTAAGTTCTCTTATAGTCAAGAAAGATTCAATTTTTATTTTAAAATACCTCCCTTTATTCGTGGCTGACGCAAAAGGGACAGGAAATAGCTGAACTTAGTTTTATGCAATTATGAAGTTTTTATTGACAAAAAGAGATGCTTAACAAAAGGAGAGCCATTCTGGGGCAAAAATGAATTTGTTTACCTTGGGTTTTGGGGGGTTTTTTGTTTTTTGTTTTTTTGCTGTTTGGATAACATCCTTTTTTTTTCTTACACTTCTTTCATTTAGTATACAAAACTGAGGAGTTAATTAGCTGTGTGTCTTTAAGCCTGTCACTTAGCTTTTCTGTACCTATGTATATCAATTTAATGTATACCAATGTTGTAAAGATAAAGTAAAATTATAGGTGTGAAAGTGGTTCTAAAAGCATAAAGTTCTATACCGTGACAAGGTATTATTGTCATCTTTAATTTGGTGACTGTCAATATATCTCTGAGCGTTGACAGTCTGGTGTAATGAAATATAAAAAGGTACGAATGTTATACAGATGAATCTTTTGGCTAAGTTTCCTTTCCTCATTATTCCAAAGAACAGAATGTTCACAGTTATAGTCCTAGTCTTCCTGGACCTAGATTTAGAAGTATTACTTGCCCCCTTTTATAAATCTTGGTACTCTGTATAACATTTTGGAACAATGCTATGATCTGAACTTTAGCTTCCACTGTTGTTTTCAGAATTAGTGAATGTGAGTGTATGAGTTAAGTATTAAAAACTATTACAGTGGTTTCGTAATTAATCTTCCCATCTCTAGGCTCTCTCCTCTCAAATTCAACCTCCACACAGCTGGCAAAATGACATTCTTTTTTTTTTCCTTCCAGCTCTATATCTTTTTTTAAAAAATTAATTTATTTTGATTTATCAACAGTCACTTCCATAACCTTTTGAGTTTTAAATTTTTCTCCCCCTCCCTCCCCACCTCCCTCCTCAAGAAGGCACGTAATCTAATATAGGCTATATACATACATTCCTATTAAACATATTTTCATATTAATGATGTTGTAAGTAAGAATTAGACCGATAGGAGGAACTACCAGAAAGAGGAAACAAAACAAAACAGAAGAAAAAAAATAGCAAATAATATGCTTCCATCTGCATTCAAACTCCATAGTTCTTTCTTTGGGTGTGGATAGCATTTTCCATCAGGAGGCCTTTGGGAATGTCTTAGATCCTTGCATTGCTGAGAAGGGTTAAGTCTATCAAAGTTAGTCATCACACAACGTGGCTGTTACTATGTACAATGTTCTCCCGGTTCTGCTCACTTCATTCAGCATCAGATCATACAAGTCTTTCCAGGTTTTTCTGAAGTCTGCCTGTTCATCATTTCTTATGCACAATAGTATTCCATTACATTCATATACCACAACTTTTTCAGCTATTCCCCAAATGATGGTCATCCTCTCAATTTCCAATTTTTGCCACCACAAAAAGAGCTGCTATAAATATTTTTGTACATTTGGGTCCTTTTCCCATTTGTATGATCTCTTTGGGATACAGCCCTAGAAGTGCTATTGCTGGGTCAAAGGGTGTGCACATGCAAAATGATATTCTTAAAGCGCATGTCTGTCTGTATGTCTTCTCTGATCAAAAAGTTCTGGGTCCATATTGCTCCTCTGTTTGACCTTTAATGCCCTCCACAACTAGTTCCAGCCAAATTACTCCCCTTCTTTTATTCCGTGGTGCAGGCAACTGGCCTTCTTG